TCCAACCTCACTTCCACCCGAGTGAACCCCTCGCTCAACACCGTACCTTATCAGGGTCAATGTCTGAGCTCGTTTCGTAGCCGTCTTCGGCAATAACTTTACCTCTCACCTCGGCCAAGGAAACATCAACCGGTACCGAGGATGACAACTCACTTCTAGGTAAGCTATCGCTGAACTCCGCAGACTGTCCAGCAACCCCAACCTCAGGAAAGGGCGTACCTTCTACTGCTCCCATTGATAATGGAACTCCAGACAACGGACTTCCGCCACTCTCGGGCACAACAACGGTCGTCTCATGGTCACACCTTGTAGAGTCTACAGCTCGAACTGTACCATCACCGACATCCACCGATCTCTTTTTTCGTGGATTCAAATCCTCTCCGCTCGATGACGACTCATCCACTAAATAATGCAATGGATAAGCCGAAGTCACAGATGCCGAGGCTGCCGATTTTCGAGCTGACCTTGCCAAAACCGGAGATCGAAGAGAGGCAGACAACCTGGCAGGCTTAGACGTAATTGCAACCAAAGCAGATTCTGTTGTGGTGATCACCTGGCGGAATGCAAGAGTAGGAGCTCTTGACCTCCTCGGACCTTTCCGTGCTAGATAAAAGGCGACCTACCAGAAAAATTCGAAGACAAAAATAAGCCAACTTACCAAGAAACGTGGGCCCAAACTTAGCGCGGAAGGTGGACCATTCGCGAATCCCCACTGTATGAGGAAGGACTTGTCTAGCCCTCTCGTGAATATCCTCGACCAAGGGAGGAGGCTCAGCCTCCACTGCATAAAAGGAGAAATTGAGCATAATCAAGGTCGACCAGTATAAGGTGCAACAAAGGGAAAGAGAAAGGTACTTACGGGCATAGTTCCAAAGCTCAGGGAAATCGTTCGTATTTACCACTACGTCCTCGGTTCGGACGTAGAAGTAATTGAGCCAAAACTGGCGGTTGGCCTTATCATCCATTTTTACCACAATTTTGCCGCCCCGGTGGCGAAGATGTAACATCGCCCCCCTGAAAAAATAGGGAGCAAAGAGATGCATCAAGTGACAGATGGTCACCTCGACCCCGACCAACTCTGCGAACTTCGAAATCATACGGATAAGCTTGTAAATATAGGGGGAGAGTTAGGCCGGACACACCCGGTAGTAGCGCCAAAACTCTTCGGCCGGGGGTATAATAGGAAAAGAATAACCTACGAATAAGGGGTATGCATAGAAGGTGCGGTACCCAGGATGATGTATTTGTACCACGTCACGCCCCGCTGGGATGATGTCTATGTGGGCATGAATTTTAAATTTAGCTCTAAATTTGACAATGTCCGCCTCTGTCATCAACGACTCCAAAATCTCAGGGTCATCTTCAGGCATCTTCGAAAATTAGACCTATCTTTTTCCTTACAGGGAACTATTTCCTCTATCGTAGAAAAGCTGTCATCTTCAACAACCATGGCCACTTCATCGTCGTGAGGAGACATGCAAACCGCCAAGGGGCGGGATCAGGCACCCCCCTGAATTGGTTGTATTAACCATTTTTGCTTATTCTTGTATCAAAAAAATGCAAGAGCAGAAGAGATATAGGTAAAAAAAGCAACAACAATGAAAGAAGGAGAGAAGAGAGAATATCCAATGTTCGAAAAACAAGAGAAATCAGGCAAAAGGTCTTATATCCCTATTTATAAGAACCTAGGCACCACATTCAAGAACACGAACTATCGATATCCCGCACAGATATCAAAATGACAGAGGCTCGAGAAACGATGCAATACGTCGAGAAAACACGTCATAATGACGTGCGACATCGTGATGTCATTCCAAATTGAGGTAACGATAAAGTTAATGATTCACGAAGCGCCGCTTTATCATCTCGCCTAGAATGTTACTACTCGACCTGCTTGCCTAAAATCTCTCCAATTACAACTAGCGAAGTCCTCTCATCGAGGATGTGCGAAAGACGCCCTCGATAATCGGAGGGACTAACTGTATGGGTCAAAATCTACCGAGCTCATTTGGCCGAGGTCGACTAATCATTAACGGGATTCATGGCCGAGCAACCAGTTATGGCCGAGGTTAAGTATCAGAGAGCAGTTAACGGCCTGTTCAGCAATAGAACCTTTAAGAGAATATTCCGTTATTTATTCTTTATACTTGTATTTTTAGGGTTAATTGAGGGCCTGCCCCTATATATAGAAAGAGGGAGATCAGATGAGGGGGAGCTCTCTCTGACACAAACTTATTTGACAAAAAGACTTTCTACGTCTTTTATAGCAGATCTAAGAAAGGTTTCAAAAATTCTTGTATCTATCTATCAATCATCGTGGCTAGAAGAAGAGCCGCTTTTATCATATTCGATTTTGGGTGAATCATTCCCTTTATTTACCTTAGTGCCATTCGAAGTACTTGAATGCTAGATCTTCTTCTATCCTTATTGGTATTCACATATTGAGTTCATATATGAAGTTATTAATATTAGCTAGGATTAACCCAAATCAAAGACATTCAACTAGTTTAGCCAAAACAATCATTTTTTGGTCAAACAAGAAGTGAACAAGATTTTTGTTCAATCCAGCTTTCATTCTTTTCCCTCTATAGATTAAATCTGAGGTGCTTCCATTGTTTTATAGTTGAATCCAACTTTCATGTAGAAATGGTAGCAGGTAGCTATTCTAAAGGCTACTAGTTAGAAATTAGTCAATATTTCCTGAATTTCAGTTTTTCAGTTTAATTTTTTAAGACACAAAATCCTGAAATTAAGATTTTTAGTTTAAATTTTCAGGATAAAATAAATACTGGCTAATCTCTAAAGAGCAATCCTAAAAATGGCTATTTGTGTACTTCTCCAAATTTCATTCTTGCTGGGCCGTGTTGGGCCTGGCTAGCATCTAACACGTGAAATGTGCACATCACTAACACGAAGTTATGTGAGGCCCTTTTTATTTGGAATCTTTATACAAATAGCCGTCGATATTGATTATTTACTTTTTCTAGTCATATACATTGTTTATGCATTGATTATACACAATTACACACATATAATACACAAATTATGCATATATTATACATCAATCGGTTATTTTTAGTTTAAGCAGTTGGGTGAGCGGCTATTTGGGTTAATTCTTCTTTTTTATTTTGGAAAAATGACCCTGTATAGTCGTTTCAAAATAATAGCTGAAAAAAATAATATTTTTGTATATTTTTTTTTTATATATGGACATTTTTATATGTTATATAAAAAAATATAAAATTTTTATAAATTTGTATGGCTATCGAATGTAAATAGTTTTGATTGCGGGCTAAAAGTGATCTTTGTCATTTTATTTTCTTTTATAGTATCTCCGTGGGTTTTCTTTCGGTAGTGGGGATCCGAGCTCCCCGATCCATAAACGTAGAATTTGAATTTTTATGATTTCTTAACTTGAGAACATCAGCTTCAACCAAAATTGTGTTCTTTTAGGAAACTTTAGATGATATATTGTAATTTGATTTACTTATTAGATTAATTTTGTCAACCGAAATTAGTGTTCAGTTAATATGTGCGAAACTCACCTTTGCAAACCAATGAACACGCATTGGTTAAAATTTAAATGCTTTTTTAATCAATTGTCTTTGTACACTCAACTGTGGGGAAGTGCACAGTTAGCCATTAATTAGAGCTGTGTTTATTCTTAAGCCACTGTTTAAAATGTATTTACTCTTTAGTCCGTGCTTTAATAAACTTTTATCCGTCCGAACAAAAATACCTCTGTGCTACAGATGATGTCCTTAACTTTATGAGTGATGTGTAAATATTAAGGACAAAGTGTCATGAATTGGCACATTCTGTTTTAAACTTTAGGACATCCCGTCCTTAACTTCGTATGTGCAGTATTTAAGGACATGGTGTCCTTAACTTCATGAGTGTTGTGTAAATATTAAGGACAAAGTGTCATGAATTGGCACATTCTGTTTTAAACTTTAGGACATCCCGTCCTTAACTTCGTATGTGCAGTATTTAAGGACATGGTGTCCTTAACTTCACGAGTGGTGAGTAAATATTAAGGACATGGTGTCCTTAACTTCATGAGTGTTGTGTAAATATTAAGGACATGGTGTCCTTAACTTCATGAGTGTTGTGTAAATATTAAGGACAAAGTATTCTGTATTTGCATCTTTTGTTGTTAAACTTTAGGACATCATGTCCTTAACTTCATATGTGCAATGTAAATGTTAAGGACATGGTGTCCTTAACTTCATGTGTGCAGTGTAAATGTTAAGGACATAGTGTCGTTAACTTCATGAGTGTTGTGTAAATATTAAGGACATAATGTCCTTAACTTCATGAGTGTTGTGTAAATATTAAGGACAAAATGTCTTGTATTTGAACCTTCTGTTGTTAAACTCAAGGACATCATGTCCTTAACTTCATGAGTGCTGGATAAGTATTAAGGACAAAATGTCCTTAATATTTACACAGCACTCATTAAGTTAAGGACACCATGTCCTTAATATTTACACAGTATCATGAAGAAAGGGTAAAACCGTCTTTTCGTATTAATTTTAATAGAGTAGCGATTATTTTTGCTCAGCATTAAAAATACTGAATAAAAACTAAATATCACATTAAAAAGTGGCTACCCCACGCCATTTCTACTCAACTGTATAATCAGAATCAGTTTAGGTAGTCAAACCAAATAGGCCGAACAATAAATTTACCATGTCCTAATATGACGGGAAACGGCCATACCTATATCTCATGTAGCATTTTTCTCAGATTTTAGGCAAGTTTTTACACTATTTGACGTTCTTTTTCCAAAACCTATACAGAATCATGAACAAATTTAGAACACACCAATCTTGAAAATGTTAATGATCCAAATATTACACAAATTGTATCATAAATGGTGTTTGCTGGATCCTATTTATAAAGTTTGTCATTTCTTGTTTTCTTTTTCCCCTTTGGTTTTTAAATTCCTCAGCAGTGTTCCATTTATTAGGATGCTGTAGTATTTACTGACAAGCAAGTGACGAACCACAAAACTTATATACAAACTCGGACTCCAAATCCACCCAATAATGTTCATATAGCATTTTCAGATCATACAAAGTAGAATTATAGTAGTAAAACACTAAATCACAATGATCAGGTCCAAAGATCTACACTTTGGCACCAAGCAGTGTCATCAGGAACTTCCTGTAATCACCTGATGTATCACCAATAACTGCATTATCAAGACTGGTCTTGTTCGCGATGAAATACTCTCCCCTTACTTTCATCATATCAACTTCAGCTCGAGCTACAATGGCTCTTGTTAGAGAATCCTCATCAGTTCCTATCCCGACAATCGAGGCTCTGACAACCTGACAATTCCAGCATAAAAAAGAAGGTACTTTACTGACATTGATCTGTAAAAACGAATTACAGGATGCTATATAACAAATGCTCTGCATGCTAAAATGTAGCCAACTTATAATAAGGTTGTTTTCAGCTTTATCCAAGTGTATTATGTATAGACAATAAAATGCACCATTTGCATCTGTTCAGTAACAATTTACCCGACATCAACGATGAAATGAAGGTCAACACGATGAACCAATTCTGAAGGACTCTTTGCTATGCTGAGCTAGTTTTCAATCTCTTGAAACAGGAAACATATTATCATGATGTACAGAGAGGACTAACCAATGAGCTGCCACATTTTCTCAGAAATAGTTAAGCACACTAGCTAGTACTTAGATAAAAGCCACAAGGACTTGAACAAGCATGAAAAGGTATTAAAGTTAAAGGAATTTCTTCAGACTGGAAAGAGGCCTTTACAGTTTCCATTGGTTTTGATTCCTCTGAGACCATATTTAGCAGTTTAGCACTGCTAATAAAGCCATAGAAGAATAAAAATAAGAAGGGGATTTTGCATCTTATGATGCTGTTGATTATTTAATTCTAATCTAACCAGAACATCAATATGCAATCTGATAGCACTAAAAAAATGAGATCTTTAGAAGTAGAATTCAACAGGACCATTTGCTTGCATTAACTTCATTAAAATAAGGTAGACTTGTGCTGAAATCTTGACCGAAGTGACAGAAAAAGGTGTCGGAAACAGGAAAATACTTCAACCAAAAAATAAAAAAGAAGAAGCTGTTCTGTGTTTAATTACCTCAGCAAAATGTTTCTCTGGTGAATCAATGCACCAGATAACCACCTTCAGAATAGATTCCAACAGACCTTTTCCACAGCTCTTAATGTCCTGGAAACAAGCAAGTAAAGTAGATGTAATAAAATGCACATAAAAGAGACAGGATGAGCAAGCAGCACTGTAAAAAGAAGGTTACACAGGCAGCTTGCAAGAAATATAACCTGGTCAATGGAGAATCCATAATTTTGCTTGTAGCACTCAAAAGTTGCTCTAAGCTGATGAACATTCCTTGTGCTGAGTATCATCAGAAAATTGTCATGATCCAACTGTTTTGTCCGTAGGGCTTCGCGAAGGACAGCAGCTTCTGCATTTGCAGTACTAGGATCCACCAATTCTTTAACATATCTATAGGACCTGACTAGACCAATAAGAATCTGGAAACACCCACACAACACACCATTTAATAGAAGTCAGTATAATGCAACTCACATCACAGTGCAATCATCGCAGAGCATGCACTCCACAATATGTATTTTTTAAGTCACTGAAAATAGTATCTTTAGTTAATTCAAACGAGTGTATCCATCAGCTAATAGATGTGATGAGAAGTGACCATATGTACCTTTTGAACAGGCATAGGGACATTTGCTGTGATATCTTCTTCAAGTGAACAGTTGAAGAGGCCACAATATGCTTGTCTTACAGCGACGAGATGATCAGGAGATGACGCACAGGCTATCTCTACTATCACTTGCAACTGAGTGATGGTTTTCTTTCTCGACTTCAAGGCTTCATTTGCTAGTCTCGCATCTCTTTCAGAAGGCTCATATGTCCACATGATTACAGCTTTCTGTCACACATCAAAAGCTAAAATTAGCACTTGAAAACTTGGGTATATAACCGCGCTCAAATAGAGAATAAAGTTACATTTGGTTGCAGAAATAGTAATTTGATAGGGGCATTTTAGAACCATACAGAAAGGCAAGCCATACGACTCACGAATTTGCAACCTAAGGTTTTTGCTAGCATATAGAGAAAACAGAAAACTGTTTGCAGTGACAGAGCTAGAATTATGAGTTGGATTTTGAGAAGTGGAAAATCTTATGAGATATGCGACATATGCCCATTTGCAACATGAGATACATAAAACAAGGACTACTTAATGCTGTTTAAAAAACCAATCCAATGTTACATAAGTGGCCAGATGTCTATGGCCTAAGATCAATATTTATTGGAGTAATATTGTTGAACCAAATGAATCTTCGTGTTAATTATAATTTTTCCCTAACACTTTGCACCAGGTTAGCGAGCAAATAATTAAGTCCATAAAATGCAAGAGAAGAGATTGTACCCCGAAATCACCAGATAATTCATCAAAAATGTCATCAACAAGGGACCTGTTGTAAAGTTGCTCGTAGGTTTCTCTGATCTTCTTCCTCTGACTTGCATCTCTGTGCCCCAACACCGATATTACTGACTTCTCATTTGTTCCCAGCCCTACACAAAACCACATTACAAATTCCTGTCTTTATATCAATGAACAAAAAGATAAAACGTATTAAAGACACACATTCAGATAGGGATGGCAATGGGCGCAGGGTCGGGCCTGGCCAGGTAAGGAAGATTCATTTTTTTCCGAATCAAATTGTTACTAGTACCTTTTATGTACATGGAACAACCAGTAGCTAATCTCTTTTTGCCTATCAGTACAGAATCAAATTACAATTAGCAGGCAGTATTCGCATTGGCCAAATTAATATTAATCAAGGCAAAATAAATAAACAAAATTCACATATTGCCACATGACCATATTTCAGCAATTAATCATGTAATCAAGCATGCAACATGGAAATTAAAAAGACAAGAACTACAAGAGAAAGAAAATTCAACAAAACAAGCCCTCAAGGGTGTTTCCTCCGAAACCAAGGTTCTAATTTCACCACAGGCGATATTAGGCGAATTCTCCTCTTATACCTAAGCTAAGCTTTGATGGACAGAGTTAGACCAATATTTGTGACAGTGAGAAGTAGCACATAGGTACCTGGTGATTAGTCTCTAGCTACACTGATCCGAACGCCACAGTTATTTAAAAAAGCTCAATAAAACAAAAATCCAGGAACCAAAATATGCACTAGTCCTCCCCCCAAGGTGAACATCAAAGAATTATCCTTACCCCCACTCCCTACCCAAAAACTTTTAAAGGGCCATACCACAAGATTCTATTATACGCAGAGGTTCCACGGCTCGAACCCATGAGCCGTGAACTCATAACTTTACCAGTTACGCCAAGACTCACATTCCTTCCATCAACTTGCTAATGGTATCTTAGTTAAGAATCACAAAACTTGGTTGAAAATTGAAATTACTTCTAAACTTGAAAAACTTGGGAGAAAGTCTCCTGAAAGTAAAACAGAGAAAGGGAAAGGAAGGAAATGAAGAGACCTTTGAAGGCTTTCATGAGTGATTCACAGTCTTCAGTAGGAGAAGGAATTACATCTGGTATTCTCAATGTACCCATTTCTTCTCTTCCTCAGAAATTGCAAGTTTTGCTTTCTGTTTCTAACGCTTTCAGTTATTCTTCGCTCTCCTTTCATGAAAGAGAAGGGCAAAAAAGAAAATAAAGAAAAGGCTTTGTAGCTAAGAGACTACCCTTAATTTTTTATAAAATCTCACTACCCATAATGCCCTTATCATTGTTTGGACTGTAATACCCCTACGTTGAATTTTCACTCCTTTTGTTCCTTTTTAAATTTTGTAAGCATGCAATTAAACAATTATCAAATTATTTGCCCGTTCTTTCCGTCCAGCATTTATTTCTTTTCTTTCCTTTTTTCCTTTTCCTTTTTCTTTTCCTACCTTGTCATCTCAACAACTTTTGGCTTTTCCTTCATTTCAATCTTCATTTATCAGATGTCTTGGCTTTATTATCCAAAACATTACAGGATATTATTTTCGAATTAAATGCCTGTCACTTCCATCTTATTTTCGCTATCTTCTTGTATTATTTCCAATTTTCCTAGATGTTATCGGCTATTCGGCTGGGCATCGTCTCTTCCTTTCAGCCAAAAGTTTTGAGTTCCTTTGACATAAACGTTTTAAATATTTTTTCTGTATTTTTAATTTTAAGTTTTGGCATAGTAGAACGGAAGAAAAAAAAAAAGATAAACAAAGTGACAAAAGAAATTTCAACAAATTTGGATGACAATTGAGATAAGGGAAGTAAAAGGATAACTAAATGAGGATTTAAAAAAAAACGTATTTTCAAATGTCGCGCAACTTACTTTCACCGTCCAGGCACTAATTACTTTGAATTTTTCTTTACTTATGGAGTATAATACTACGACTATCTACATGCTAAAATTGGTCATATCAATTTCTGAAATGAAGTTGAACTAATTTTTAACAATTATCATAAAAGAATTTCCTGTCGGTGAAATATCTGGAACGTGACAACTTTAAGTCACCCACATTGTTATTTCAGAGAGCTTTGTAAACATCGCATTCACGAAAAACTTTACTACGTGCCTACTGACACTAGTTGTGTCGTATGTTGTTTTGTCTCATAATAAAGTGGGCCTATTTATTATACGAATTTAAGTCCACAAAACTTTGGGTCTATTTTACTATGAGACAAAATAAAGTCTCACATAATTAATGTTAGTTGTTTGAGATACAAAATAAAAGGAGAATGACATATTTATTTACAAAAACAAAATTATTTACTTTTGCATATTTATTTATTTTTTTATCTATCAAACTAATTACATTTTCTACCCATAGTAATTTTTGTGAGAAATTTTCTCTTTTTTCTCCAATACTTTTTTATTTCTATGTTTCTTTTCTTTCTTTTCTCTTTTTCTTTTTTCTCGTTTTCTTCTTATTTTTTTCTTTTTTCCTTTTCTAATTTCATTTAACTTATTTTTTTATATTCTTTTTCTCTTTATAATCTAATTTTCTTTACTGTTTTCACTGTTTTTTATTATTCTTTTTTTATACAATAAGAAAAAATAACTGATATAATAAATATTTGTTCACCTTTTTTTTAAAATATAATTAGTATAATATACCTTTTGTCTTTTTTTCATTTTTTAATTGTCACTTGAACTAATTCACTGAATATCACATTGACTGTTGCTGAGCATCATAAATTACATAATCAGATTCTAAGAATCAACACGTGATTGCCATGCAAACCTTGATCTCATTCCCTATAAATATCAGTACACACTCTACCATTAGCAGTAACACAACCGGTTATGGAGCAAGAAAACATAATCTACGGCCACCAAATCTCCATATATACTAGTTAGAATATAAATGATAATAAAATATTAAAAAATATAATAAAAATATAAGTAACAAAAAAGACTTCTAGTACCATATGATACCAATATGGTATACATGTATACCAACAAGGTATATGATTGCTCTAGAATATTGCTACAACTATCTGTGACCAGGGGCGGAGCTACAGTAGTTGGTGCGGGTTCGGGCGAACCCAGTGACTTTTTCCGGAACCTTGCATTTGTATTGAAATATTTACTAAATATATATAAATATATACTGCCGAACCCAGTAACAAAAGGGGTCTTGGTTCAACGGTAAAGATTGTGGGTTCACTAGAAAAGATGGGGTTTCGATTCCCGCTGAAAGCAATATTTTTTAAAATTTAGAACCCGCACACTTCGAATCCTAGCTCCGCCTCTGTCTGTGACTATTCTATTGTACCAAAACATTAAAGGATGCAATAAAAGTATGAGAAAATTACATGCTCGCATTGCAAGCTAAATATTCCCAAAATAACTTGCTCATTCGGTATACTAACAAGGTATATAGTTGTATAGGGTGATTCCAACAATTACCTATAACTATAAAAACTATTACATAATATATATAATCTATGTCCATCGTCACAAAAAAAAATCCAGCACTGCAAATCATGTTCATATAAATACTTTCAGAATAGTAATCAATTAAAAATGCACCTAAAACAACCAAAAAAAATGTTCAAATTACCATATGATACCAATATGATATATAACTATACCAACATGGTATACATCTTTATTGGTTAATTTCCGGCAATCGTATGACTATACTACTATTACATAACACACATGCATAAAGAGAAAAATAAAAAAATAGTGTACCACATATTAATATAATAAAGTATTTCAAGATATTGTACTATATTACTATTATTAAAAGAAAATCAAATAGTGTACCAATTAAATGCAGCTACTACAACCAAAAAATGATTCAACTAACATATGATACCAATATAGTATATAATTATATTAATAGGGTATATAGTTATACGGGGTTGTTCCAACAACCACATATAACTATAAAAACTACTACATAATACACAAAATCTATGTCCATAGGTACAAAAAAATCCAACACAACAAAACATGAATATATAAATCATTTCAGAATAAAGTTTACTTAAAAATGCAGCTAAAACAACCAAAAATATTTCAACTACCATATGATACCAATATGACATATAATTATACCAATAGGGTATACAGTTCTACTAATTAATTCCAGGCAACTATATATGACTATACTACTATTACATAATACACATGCATAAAGAGAAAAATTAAAAAATAGTGTATTTCAAGATATTGTACTATAATACTATTATATAAAACAAACGCATAAAGAAAAAATCAAAATGATTACATAATACACATGCTTAAAGAAAAATTAAAAAAATTCAAGATATTGTACTATCATACTATTATTAAAGAAAAATCAAATAGTGTACCAATTAAATGTAGCTAATACAACAAAAAAATATTTTAACTAACATATGATACTAGTATAGTGTATAGCTATACCAACATGCTATACAATTGTACACAAAGAGTTTAATTTTTTTTTTAAAATTCGATTATTAAACTGAAATAATATTAGTTGTCAGATAATCCAATTAACTCAATGAGAGCTTATGCAATGAATAATACCTCCATGGAATTCCATCAATGTTAATAAATATTATTAATGTTAATAAATATTATTATTTATTTATTGAAAATGTGGACAACAATTGGACAAAAATTTAGGACAATCCTTTTGAAATTGTGGTATGCACGACAACCGGAAATTTCTCCGATCAACTTATTTCTTTTGTCCATTTTTCTCACTGCGAATACCGTATTTCATTTTTATTTTTATTTTTTAAATTATTATTAATATATGTTTCTACCATCAAAGTACATATCATAGAAGGAAAGATAGTCAAAAGTAATGTGATTCATGTCATAAAATAAAACAAAAAGGGGAATAGATTTGCATTTTTCACATGTCTCTTACGTGGGGTAAAACAAATTAAAGAGGAAATAGGAAATTGAATAGTTTGATAATAAGTTTGTGCTATATAGATAGGAATTGTAATTAATTTTTAAGTGGGCAACATCGGGTAATTATTTTGGCCTTGATAGGCACATGCGTTATTTCCTCCAAAATAAAATGTTTCTCGCATTCACATATTAAACTATTGGGGGCTTTCGCACACACTTTGGCTTGTTCATCAGAATATTTTCTTAAGAAAATAATATGCTTACCAACAAACACTTGTGATTTCTTACTCACAATCACTAACTAAAAAGTAAAAAACCAATAACAAAAGCTTGGCAAGTAGAGCAAAAGAGATATCGAAACTTCACTAAAATGAAGTAAAGAAAACATAGTTTATACCAAAAGAAAAAAAAAAACATAGATTCCTGTAAAGATTATAATGACTTTTGTTTTTACTTACTTTTTATTTTCTTAATCTTGTTATTTTCAGATTATAAATTAATAGTATGTCAACAGGGATGCGAGCTGCCAGATATGATATGTGGGAAGGTATAATATGGAAATTTAATGGGGACAATGAACATCACATGGAAACTTGCGTAGAACATGTCTTTTTCCTACTTTAATATACTTGATTGATCGTCCCATCTACCAGCTAAATATGTGCAATTAATAGGGTAGATATTTTAAAATATTATGGAAGTTATTGTCAGCCATGTGATTCATATGCCGAAGAAAAAAAGGGAGGAGAAAGAATAACGATCTGTCCTTCGGGTGATCACTCTATGGTGAGTACTTTGTATGCACTGGGTAAACCTACCCCTGTGTAATAGCCCGCAAATCACACATGAGATGTAAACCGCACTAGACAAGCCATGTGCGACAAGCTCAACCCAGAAAACACTGAAAGAAGAATCGATCAGGATGACCGCCCTCCAAACCAACTTGTCAACCCCAATTTTTTTTTTCAATAATTAATATCTATCTCCTGCACGTTTAACAAATTTGTTGCATTTAATAGCCATGTGATTCTAGGGGTAAAGTTAATATTTAGCTCAAGGTTGGTTAGATCACCCCATCTGAACTGTGTGAATGATTTGAATTTTACACTTGAAAAGAAGAAGAAAACAAATTAAGGAGATAAGAATTTATTCTCCTTTTTTATTCACAAGTTCCATTCACACTTATTCTGGGCCCTTAATTATTATCAACAATCATGTTCTGATTTTCTACTACTTTAGTTTATTTTTACTTGCCCACTATTTTAAAAATAAATTTTTAATTTTATTTATTCATTTTCACATATAAAAAAATAATAATTTTTTTTCTATTTACCCTTCACATTAATTACTATTTTCAAATCATTTTCCAAATTAATAAAGACTATACACCAATTAATATGGGTAACATGATAAATTATACACTTTATTTATCATTTCTTAAGGGATGTGCAAAGTCAATAATGAATAAGTAAAAGTGAACGGAGGGAGAAGTTATTACAAATGTCTTAACAAATTACTTCCTCCATTTCGCTTATTTAATACCTAAGTTATCAAGTAATTGAACCTTATAATTTTAACTCTTAAATCAACTTAAAACAGCGAGTAATTTAATTAGACATAAGTAGTCCTTGTTAATTATTTTGATCATGAGCACTTGAAATTTATCAAGTAAAAAAGAGACCTATAATACCAAGTTTTACCTGAACAAAATCACCTAAAGAATACCCGTAATATCGGGTCAAAGCTAGATGTAAGTAAATTTTCTAGGAAAAAGGAAAAGTAGATTATCTCACCAAACATTTTTTTTTTTGGATTGGAAGAAATTGCTGACGACTTGGGTTAACGATAAAATAGACAATAATTTTAATTTAAACAATATTCATCTGAAGTTCTGAACACAACATGCTTAACAACACATAGAGTATATTGACTATGGTCCCTTTTCTTACTTCCTAAGTTAAGATTAAGATTGAAAAAAGGGGGAAAAGTCAAGATTACTATATTTTTTGTGTTTGTCTTTTTATTTTCAGTTTAATCATTCAATATTAGGGCGTACTGGCTCGATCAATTTCGATGCAGAAAATAAGCCTATTAAGGTTGTAAAAACGCTCACTACCAGTATCATAAGGTATTCTATTTTTAAGGCATCTGACTAAGGGCAGATGGATTATAACTATCCCATTACACTTTTCAATAATTGTTTTTTTTTTTGCCTTATTAGTATTGGTCATTGGTTAAAGGCACGAGGTTAAGTGATATATACATCACTTTGAACTGTATACACGCATGGATCGGGAAATAAAATTGTGTGATGCTTTGCTAAAGAATAAACGACTGATCACACTTCATTTTTTCCTGTTTTTAATTCGGTATGATTTCAAACAGTTATTTTCTATAATTAAGGCGTGACCGCTGAATTTTTTTGTAAGTAATTAACATATAAGTAATATTTTGAAACGTAATTAGCAAATTTATTGAATCTCGTTAACTGTAAATCACATGTGAAAGCCTTGTAATGAAAAGTAGCTATCATTTTTCTGTTCTTTGATTAAAAAGCAAGCGAAATAGTTGACTTCTTCAAAGCACCATATATGTACACTGGAAGGGCAAAACAGATCAAACAATAATAATAATAATAATAATAATAATAATAATAATAATAATAATAATAATACAATTAAAAAGGAAGCATGCCATTTAAAAGATTAAGTGGGCGTTTGGACATAAGAATTGTAAAATTCCAAAAAATAAAATAAAAATGGTATTTGAAAATTATAGTTGTATTTGGACATGAATATAATTTTGGGTTGTTTTGAAGTTTTGTGAGCGATCTGAGTGAAAATTTTGAAAAATAGTTTTTTAATTTTTTTTTAAATTTTCTAAAAATTTTAAAATTTATTTTCAAGTAAAAATTAGAAATTTTATGGCCAAACACTGACTTCGTGAAAAAAGTGATTTTTTTTCGAAAAAAAAGTAAAAAAATTCTCATGCCCAAACGGACTCTAAATGTCACGTGAACATGATGTACAAAAATAAATCAGTGAATGCTGGGAGAGGGCGAATCAAGCTTAGCTGTATCGCAATATGAAAATAAATACGATCCTATCATTTTCTGTCCCAGAAAGTTTAATACTATAAATTATATAATTTCTAGATAATATTGGACATTATTAAAAAAATTAAAAATTGCGCACGCAAATTCTAATACTTATTTTTATAAATGAAAACAAGCTAAGTTTAGCTGTTGGTGCTCCTTTTTCTCGTGGAATTAGTTTAATGCATTATAGGAAGCTTACTAGAGACTCTTCGAGGAGGAAATATAGGTCATAAACAAAGTAAAACCAACAATAAATATATTTGTTTTTCTGTCTTTTCTGTTTTTGTATAAATATAGAAAATTAAGATACATACAAATGAAGGGGCATCTTAGCTGTTGGATATGTCTCTTTCACATGGCATTGATCCGCACCACAAGATATGTTCAATCTGATAATTTCAGACCTGTGATCTCATTTTTCTAATATTTCCTCTTTTATTATTTTAAATCTAATGGGATTTTTCAAACTTTGTTTAGTGATATTCCAAAATCTTGACGTGCCGATTACTTGTTACTCTGATAAGTTAATTAATTTGATAAAGTCAAGTCTTGATGTTCATATGTGTATCATTCTAGAGAATCACATCTATAGTGGCTTAATAATTAATAAAGTGTGTAAAAATTATGAGGAATATCGTTTTTTTTCTTCTTCAGAAATCACTCAAATTTCCTTCTGGAATCCTATTATTTTAATTTTAATACAAATAAAAAATACTTATTAGATAACTTTTTCGACCTGCCTAAATCTCAATAAATATAGTTTACTAGTCTTGTGCCTAGGTTTACCAGTACACTACGGTTATAAGGGAAAAAAATATCGACCTCGCATTCCAGAAAAAGACAAATCCCAACGCCAAACTAATTATTTTTTGTTCGTCTTAATTTACAACAGAGAATTCCAGAAGCTGCCTAGCATGTGGATTTCATTTCAAAAACATGGCATAGGGAAAAGCAACCTGTCAATGGAAATCTTGATAACGATTGACATAATATGGACGTGAATAAATATGACGGAGATATATAAACTAAAAAGAAACTACGTACGAAGACTTGGCCTCAATTATTAGGACGGGCTCCATATATATATATATATATATATATATATATATATATATTTGCTTGTGATTCTCATGCAAATAATTTTTATTTAATTTATTATTCTTTCTCTTATCGGGGGAGGGTTACAATAATTAGAGACTTTTCAAACTTGACATATCACTAATCAATACTTTGGACGTTGTCTTGTTGTTTCTTTATGGAGAAACAGGTTGTAAATGCTCTCCAGTTTCGATTGTTACAAACGAAATTTTAATCGATGAAATTATATTTAATGACGTGAATTTTAAAAACTTGACAGGTAGTAGCATTAGAAAAATTACCATTCAAAGAGAAGTATGATGTGTATCAAATGTTAAAATTCATATTTAGATAGTCCAAAAATGAATGTAATATAGTTCTACGAACGCCTAAATAGGGATGTTACTGGGACGGGGCGGATTTAACCTTTTGCGGGGCGGATTGAAAATAGAAAAAAAAAAAAACTATGCGGGCCGCGGCAGGTTAAAAATTAAGCGGGTTAAAACTCGACCCGCTCCGCATCCGACCTGACCCGCTGCCCTCGGTACGGCTAAACAAATCCATGTTCTAAACATGGAAAATGTGTTTTTGAATGGAATGCTCGATAAAATACGATGAATTTAGAGATCAATGGGGCAACTTTTACATGGATTATTTTTTGTATTCACATGTACTGTTTTATAAGATGGACATCCTCTATTTGTTGTTCGAGTTAAAATAATTCACCATTGGCCAGCTATTGTTTATCTTCCCCTTCTTTGACCATTGACTATTGCTTTACAATGAGAGATCTATTGGGACATAACAGTATGAGGTGGAAGTTTCATAGTGCGATTCTTTGAGAACAAATTAAATAGTTATCTACTGGAGCTTCAATCAAACACACTAGGCACTAATCAATTTGATAAAAAATTAAAAATAATTTATCTTGAATCAATTGACTTTAATTAAAATATAGATCCGTTACGATTAATGCATGTATTTTTTTAATAGATATCTTTTTCCTTGCTTTTCATAGTTGGATCTACTTTCAGCTTGTCTTTATGCTTGTATAAGTATCTTTCAGAAAAGTTCAACAAAATGGAAAAGAAATACTTGCTAATTAACATGGAATTAAATTTCCAAAGATATAATAGTGTTTTGTTATTGAACTTTTCGAGATCGGAAGAAGCATCTTAATTCTTAACGAAGAAAGAAATGGAAGTGATGTAGCATGACCGATAACGATTTTTTATTGGGCAAAATACAAAATTAATTGATCGACAGATACTAACTACATTCGCTAGTCAAAAAATGTATAAAATAAGTATATTATCGACTATTATTTTTGAAAGCGATTAGAAATATATATTTATATTTTTTATTCCATCAGAATAAGTTATAAGAGCAAAAGTAAGTTACAAAATAGAATTTGCTTTGGAAAAAACATAACTTGTAATATCAGTAACCTAAACTACACAAACTATACATGTTAGATATCTTTACTTGTAATTACTATTATTAAACTAGGACGTGTGAGGCTCATGGTACATAAAGTAACAAAAGCAGATCTTTGAGCATCTATTAACATTAAATTAAGAAGATATAATAGAGATTAGATTTAATTAAAGTAATGGACTTAAAGACTTTGACTTTATTTTGTTTAAGGCGTTACAAGCTGTACTTTGATGAACAGGGGAAAGTACACGTACACAATGGGCCACATCTTTATAATTTTATATTCATTATTTTACTAATTAAGGGAGACGAATACTATTTTTGTACAGCGAGGGCTACTTCGGTCTTTTCAGTGTTAGTTCAGACGTTGAATCACCGGCCGTAACAGGTAAAATGACAGAAGTACCCCTGATAGCCCATATAAGTATATATCCAATTGAATCCAGAAGTCCCACCTCTCTCTCGCAAACACTTAAAAAAAAAACAGAGACAAAAACTTAAACACAGAAAAATTACTCAAAGAAATGGCAGAGGCTAATGCGTATGCAGCTCTCACCAAAGCTTTCTCAGGTTATTTTCCATTTCTTCTTCTAAAACTTTGAATTTTTACAGTTTATATAAGAGTTAAATAGTTTAAGTTTTTACCACTAATTTTTTTACTTTCCTTCAATATAATATTTTGTTAATTTACACAAACTTGTAGGACTTGGTGTGGATGAGAATTTATTCATCTCAACATTGGGGAATTGGAATCGGCATCAGAGGGAATCCTATAGGGTAAGCACTCCAGGATTTTTCAAAGAAGATGAACGCCAATTTCAGAGATGGGATGATCAACATATTCTTCAGCTTCGCCAAGAATTTTTGCGTCTTAAGGTATTTTTATTTTTAATAGTATTAATTATGTTATAACATTTTGATTTTTGTCAGCTATATGTAATACCATAGTGAAATATAATTAATCCAATTGCTTATTGTCAGAGAGAGTGTGAAGGAAGTGGTTGTGACTATTTCATAAATTTGGTGGTTAGAAATTAGAATAATCAAATGACCAAAAAATTTAGCATCTTTTTCTTTTGAAAACAATACCTTTATTATAAATTTCGAAGAGGAGCCTTGGAGCAACAATAAAGTTATCTCCGTTTGAGCTATTGATCACGAGTTCGAGCCGTGGAATTAGCCACTGATGCTAAGCATCAGGATAGGCTGCCTACATGGCCGTGTGGCCCTTCCCGGGCCTTGTGTAAACGCGAAATGCTTTGTGCACCGGGCTGGTCTTTTACCTTTATTACAATTTTTTAAACCCCAATTCTGTAAAAAAATTTAAAGTTCTCTCATAAATTAGTTGTGATTTTGTTTTCTTATGATCATTTCCTTGTCATGGCCAAAATTTTGTAGGATGCCGTTGTGTTGTACACAATGCACCCATGGGAAAGAGATGCTCGCTTGTTTAAGGAGGCATTATTATTGAAAGTACCTCAACTTAAGGTTTTAATTGAGACTGCTTGTACTAGATCTTCTGAAGAGCTTTTGGGTGCAAGAAGAGCCTATCATTCCCTCTTTGAACATTCAATAGAGGAAGACATTGCCTTCCATATCCAAACTCCTGAAAGAAAGGTCTTTCTTCTTTGTCTTGATCTTTAAAATACCAATTCTTTTTGAGTTTTCACAGTCTAAAAGAATTTATACATTATTAGATCAGATCAGGTAAAAGATATCGTCCATAAAAAGTGAGATTACTAATCTTGAAAATAAGACAAGTTATTTCCTACAACATGTTAAGATACATCAATATTGTAAAATTCTTTATACTGCAAGTGTTTTTAAGTTAAATTAATCATATTTTTAATAGATTGGGTTTTCTCACATAGGACATATATCATGTCCATTTACTCATAAACATGCGTTCATGATCATTCGGGTTTACTTTTAAAATCGAGAATGAAAACTTGCCACTGATCTTGGTAATTAGGCGTTTGGAGATAATATTAGATTGGCTAAATGATTTTGCTATCCAAATTGAGGTCATTTCCTTTAATGGATAAGTGCACAAGCTTCTCGTATGGGCTTGAGATGTGAATATTTGGGCTATACTATATCTAAGTTCTCATATAGTCATATTGTCCCTTTTTTTTTTTTTTGAGTTATAGTATATTTAGATCCATTTTTTTTTTTGCTGAAAATTTCAATTCTCTTCATTCTCATTGTTATTATTGTCTTTGAAATTTTTTGCTATTATTATTGTCATTGTAAGTTTTCGATTAGTAATTTTTCATTTTTGTTATGACAAACAGCTTCTAGTTGCTCTAGTGAGTTCCTACCGTTATGAAGGGCCAAGAGTAAATGACGATCTTGCAAAATCTGAGGCTAAGGTATTTGTGAATGCTCTAAAAGATGCTAAGAAAAATCTCATTGAGGATGAAGAGATTGTGAGGATCCTTTCACACAGAAGCAAGCTCCATCTTAAGGTCCTCTATAGCCACTACAAGGAAATGACAGACAACTACCTAGACGAGGTAGCGAAAAAAAGGAGTTTAACTTCTATGTACTGATAAATAGTGTATACTTTTTTACATCATCAGATTAACATGATCTACGACCACAACAATGTAGGAGTTAAAAGGAATTAAGTGATTAAGAGAAAAAGAAGACGTTCAAAATGTCATGGAACAATGGTCTATTCGATACTAATCTCAAATTTTTTTCAGGATCTTGATGGTTGCTTGATCTTGAAACAAGTAGTTCAATGCCTTTGTTCACCTCAAACATACTTCAGCAAGGTAAATAGCAATCACAAAATTGATAAATATACTATATTGTCTTGTATTTCACCCCCATTTGTTTGAATTTTTCGTTATCTATCTGACTTTTTTCTCATTTTCAATTTCTTATTGCGTAGATTTTGATCGAGTCCTTAAGATTGGATGTGGATGAATCTGCTAAAGACTCAGTCACCCGAGTCATCGTTACAAGAGCAGACGATGATATGAAGCAAATCAAAGAAGAATTTCACAGCAAATATGGAACTACCTTACCTGCAAAGATCGAAGAAGTTGCCAATGGAAGTTATAAGAATTTCTTGCTTACTATAGTTGCAAAATCTGAGTAATTTGGGCCAGATTTTCTATGGGTGGGTGCATGGTTCCATGTTCTCAAATTCTTGTTGAGTTGTTTCCCAGTTGCTTTAATTTCTTTTGAAGTCCTTTGCTCAATATATGTATGATTTCAATGTTTCTATATAAAATGAAGTCCTTTGTTCAATATTGTTGAGTTGTTTCCCCTTTCCTGATTCAACTTAATTATCTTTAGTATAATTTTTGAATGGACCATTAGTTTGTAGAATAAAACATCAGCGTTCTCTTATATGAGTTTTAACTTACAATATTTCTCCTTTCTGATCAATAGATTGCACCAGAAGCACTACTAAAGTTGAGATTAAAGCAAGGAATACTTAGTGGGCGTTTGGACATAAGAATTGTAAAATTCCGAAAAAAAATGAATTTTTTTTCCAAGTGAAAATGCTATTTGAAAACTAGAGTTGCGTTTGGACATGAATATAATTTTGGATTGTTTTTGAAGTTTTGTGATTTGAGTTTTTCGAATTTTCGAAAAATTTCGAAATCCATCTTCAAGTGAAAATTTGAAAATTTATGGCCAAACACTGATTTCGGAAAAAAATTAAAAAAAATTCGAAAAAAAAATAAAAATTTTCTTATGTCCAAACGGGTAAGTTATGGACGTACGATGACTAACTTCAGAATTCTAACTACTATTAGTTTCAAAAATTATTAATTTTCCCTTAGATTCTTCACTTCTTTTTAGGAATTATAATGGGTGAACTTTTAAAATTATTTATTTGGACACCTCAATTAAAGTCACAACCTATTAGTCAAGGAATGTCAGTGCAAAATATACCTATTAAACGCAAGACGTTAAGACGGCCAAAAAATTAGGTCTGAACTATGCGGTGACGTGAAAAAAAACCCTAATAAAATAACGAAACATGGCATCCCAAATAATTTTCCCATCCTAAGAAAAAGTTTTTGAGCCAAAAAGAAACTTTTTTTTGGGAACCTTTTCTTGTTGGGAACGTGTCAGACTAGGCTAATAGAAGGGAAAAAATATTTGAAAGAGAAAAGTAATAAATTGCACAAAACAAGACAATAGAAGATTTACGTGGTTCGACAATTTTTGCCTACTCCACGGCCACACAAAGAATAACACTTTATTAATTGAATAGAGAAAGAAGAAGTTGAGGGATGATATGCAAATGAAAATGCATACCCCTTTTATAGGCATTTGAATGTCCTGCCGACGTAAGCGCTTACATCATAAGAATGCCGATGTAAGCGCTTACATCATAAGTTCATCTCTTTTTGACTTTTCTTTCTTTTGTTTTGCCTACTTTTCTTTCTTCACATACAACAACATGTTTGCTACTATAAATTTTCCCCTCAAACCTATGTTACATCAAGAAAGAAATTAAAAAAAAGATTTGCTATTCTCTGGTGGCGCCTTCACGCTATCAGTCTTGAAGGCTAACTGAGGCAGTGCACAACCTCAATTTGTCAACACCGACAACTTTGATCAACATGTCTGACGGGTTCTTTGATCCTGGTATCTTTTACAGGGAAAAAGTTTTTTCACTTATCAACTCTCGGATATGATGATACCTCAACTGAATATGCTTCGATCTTGCATGAAACACTGGATTCTTGGCAAGATGAATTGCACTCTGGCTATCGCTGAAAAGCTCACAATTGTCCTGCTCTTTACATAGCTCTTTAAGAAAATTCTTGAGACAAATCATCTATTTTTCAGCTTCTGAGATTGTCATGTACTTTGCTTCAGTGGTAGATAGAGCAATATTTTTCTGAAGTCTGGAGATCCAGCTAACAGCACTTGTTTTACTACTAATCGTGCTTTGTATCTCTTTTTACTATCATGCTCTTCCTTGACCCTGTACACGCACTTATTTTGCAATGCCTTCTTAACTTTTGGTAACTCTGTAAGTATCCATGTTTTATTCTTTTGAAGAGAATTCATCTATTCTTTCATGGCTAGCTTCCACTTATCAGAGTTTATCACCTGCACTGCTTCAACAAAATGCCCTGGTTCTCCAGCATCCATCAGAAGTAAATAGTGGAGAGAGAGAGTTAACCTATCTGGAGCATTCATGACTCTTTTAGATCTCCTTAATGTAGGTTCAGGATTAACTGATCTCGAATTTGATTCAAGTCCTGACTCCAGATCTGGTTCTCCATATGATTCTATCTCTGGTTCTGGTTCTGATTCTAATCCAGATTCGGCTTCTGGTTCGGCATCTTCAATCTCAGATCCAGTTGTAGTCTCTCTAGCCACTTCATTCTCTGAGATTTATTCTAACTCAACTGTTTCAGATGTCTGTCTGCTGGTAATGGTTGGTTCTACTTCAAGCTTGTCTTTGTATATCATATTTTCATTAAATGTGACATTCCTGTATCTTAGGATCTTTTTATTCTGATCATCCCAAAATCGATAACCAAAATTATCATCACCATAGCCAATAAAAAAATATTTCTTGGCCTTTGGATCAAGCTTATTTCTATCATTAGAGTTTACATGCACATAAGCAACACAACAAAAAATTTTCAGATGTGAGAGAGTTACCTCCTTTCCTGTCCATACCTTCTCAGGAATTTCAAAATTTAGCGGTACAGAGGGTCCCTTGTTTGTGAGGTAAGCTGCCGTGTCAACAACCTCGGTCCAAAAATACTTCGGCAATCCAGAATATATTCTCATACTTCTGGCTTGTTCATTCAGGGTTCTGTTCATCCTCTCAGCAACGCCATTTTTTTCCGGTGTTCCAGGAACTGTCTTGATCATTTTGATCCCATTCTCAGAGCAGAATGCTTTAAACTCTTGACTATCATACTCTCCTCCATTATCAGACTTCAGACATTTTAACTTTAGACTTGTCTGATTTTCAACTTCAGCTTTCCATCTTTTAAAGGTAACAAACACATCAGATTCATTTTTCAAAAAATAAACCCATACCTTTCTTGTAGAATCATCAATGAAGGTGACATAATAGTGTGAGCCTCCCAAAGAAGTTACAGGAGCTGGTTCCCACATATCTGTATGCACTAGTTCCAGCTTCTCTTTCTTTGGCGTCCTTCCCGCCTTTGAGAAACTAACTCTCTTTTGTTTTCCGTAAATACAATCTTCGCACAAACCTAATTCAACATGCTTTAGGCTTGGCAACTTTTCTTTGGATGCCAACAACTTCATTCCCCTTCTCACTCATATTCCCGAGCCTCCGGTGCCACAATGTTGTATCACGACTATGATCTACTGTTGCGATAGTATCTCTCTGTATTGCAGTTGCATACAATGTTCCCTTCTTGAAGCCTCATGCCACAACCAAATTTCCTTTTGTTATCTTCCACGATTCGTTACCGAATGTTGTTGTATACCCTTCATTGTCAATCTGACCCATAGATATCAGATTTTTCTTGAGGTCAGGAACATGTCGGACATTTTATAATTTTCATAGCATGTCTTGTGAAGTCTTTATATGAACTTCACTTTTCCCGACACTGTCCAGAGGTTCGCCGTCTGCTAGATAAACTTTTCCAAATTTTCCAGCAATATAATTATGAAATAATTCTTTGCATGATGTAGAGTGAAAGGATGCACTTGAGTCTAGAATCTAAGATTCGCTTGGACTGTCTGCACAACATATTAGTGCATCACCGACTTGTTCAGCAATTGCATTTACTGAATTATCATCCTTGTATTGATCATTCTTCTTCTTTGGCTCTCTACACTGACTACTGTAGTGATCCTTTTTATCGCAATTCCAACACGGAATGTATTTGCGATTTTTGGATTGCCATTTTCTCCTTGACTTTGATCTGCCACGATCATGACTTTGTCCTTTTTGGCTGCTTCTCCCCTACTTTCGGTATTAAAAGCAGATCCTAGGGAATCACTTGATTCTCTTCGGTGAATATCTTCGCTTAGAACCAAGTCTCTAATATCATCCAATTTGAGTTTGGTACTTCCCGATGAACTGCTAACTGCAGTTACTGTTGCAGACCAACTCTCTGGTTGAGATGATAGTAGAATCAACGCCCTGACTTTGTCATCGAATGTTATATTAACAGAACACAACTAAGTTAATATTACATTAAACTCATTGATATGTTCTGTAACAGATCCACCTTCTCTCATCTTTAAGTTGAACAATCGACGCATCAAATAGACTTTATTTGAAGCAAATGACTTCTCGTACATATTTGATAACGCCTTCATCAGGCATGCAATGGTCTTCTCGTTAATGATGTTAAACGCCATATTTCGTGTTAGCGTCAAACGAATCACACCAAGAGTTTGGCGATCTAATAGATCCCAATCCGCTTTGGTCATATTCTCTGGTTTTACCTCGGTCAGAAGTAAATGTAATTTTTTCTGGTACAAATAATCCTCTATTTGTATTTTTCAGAATCCAAAATCTTTGCCATTGAATTTGTCAATCTTAACCTTCACTTCTTCTGATGCCATTTTTTCACAAAAAAAATTATGTGAATAGTGCTTGTGAATAGTAACGATGATTAATAGTGTCGCACTATTCTTGTGAATAGTACCTGTACCAATACCATACTTTTCTACCAGAATTACACTATCTGTGCTCTGATACCAGTTGTTGGGAAACGTGACAGGCTAATAGAAGAGAAAAAATATTTGAAAGAGAAAAGCAATAAATTGCACAAGACAAGACAATAGAAGATTTACGTGGTTCGGCAATTTTTGCCTACCCCACGGCCACACAAAGAATAACTCTTTATTAATTGAATAGAGAAAGAAGAAGTTGAGGGATGATATGCAAATGAAAATGCATACCCCTTTTATAGGCATTTGAATGTCCTGCCGACGTAAGCGCTTACATCATAAGAATGCCGATGTAAGCGCTTACATCATAGATTCATCTCTTTTTGACTTTTCTTTCTTTTGTTTTGATTACTTTTCTTACTTTCACATGCAACAACAAGTTTGCTACTATAAGTCATCCATCTTCTACCAAATTGAGTTGCATTAGTGTTGTGTTATAATTTCGACAAACCTGCGAATTCAAAAGAGGTGATAAGTCAGTATTCACATTTTAAAAAAAAAGAAGAAAAGCTATACTACTCTAACATTATTTATTTACGATGATAGCATTAATTGAGGTTAAATGAATAATTGAAGATTTATATCACTAACCCCAATTTGTTTGAGGC